CCCTCCCCTCACTTGGCATATGACTAACCCCTCTCCCCTCACTTGTTACATTGCCAGGGTGCGAACGGTAAAAAGAAATCAGACCTCACTTGGTGGAGAAAGAGGGCAAGGGAAGGGTAGCCGGTCCCTTGTGCCACCAAGAAGGCAAAGGAAAGGGCGTTTGAAAGAGTGGGAAAGAGGCGGGATCCGGGAGAAAGTACAAGTTGAAGCAAGGTCAGTTTGACTCAACCATTTCCCCGATTGCATGACTATGAGAAGAGGATGGGCTGATTGAGCAAAAGAGAGGGAACAAAGAGCAGTCAAAGAACATGGAAAGATAGGGATGTGGGAAGGGCTATGTGTTGACCCCCAACGGGGGATTGTATGCATCTTTGCTTTGTGTGGGACTGTGCAGGTAAGTGAAGGCTAGGGATGCCTTGAGGATAGGGCCGGGAGGAACCGGGCGGCAAAAGGAAAAGGGAAGAGGGGCAAAAGGGCTACGGGACCCTTAGCTTATAGCCAATCCATGGAAATGACCTTTGTGTTTGAGACTTGGAGTGTGAATGAGGGAATGGAGTGCAACCTTGCCAAGGGAAATGTGAAGTGGTGTGTGCATGCATGTAAAGGCCCCGAAAAGACTAGGGGGCCTGCCTCAATAGGGTTGAATGAGATGTATGAGACCCGATGGGTGCGTAGAGGTGAGGGGGAGGACGGCATCACCGCACCCCGATGACGCCGTAGGATCACAACGCTTAGGGAAATGGTGCGCGACCTAAGGATGACGCTTAGCCTGCGCACAAGAGAAGAGAAATTCTCAAAGAACCCTTGGACTGCATGTGTATTGGAAAAAGCAATTGCCTGCAAACATAACCAAGAATCAAAAAAAAAAATCAGCACTGCGGAATGACCAGCAAGACTACCACCCGGCGTGAGGGCTGAGCTACATCCCCAATGTCAAAGCTCTCTCGCAACCCCCATCCATCTCAAAGCACTAGGTGGGGGTGACCCTGGGACGAATGCCCCGCGCCCTGAGCATGAGGGTGGGCGGGCCGAGCCAAATAGGACCCGCAGTGGAGTCGACTAAGGCTCGAAAGTCTACCGAGGTTTGGCCCTACAACGGCCAGAGCCAAGTCATGGTCATAGTTGACCGATTTAGCAAGTATGCTGTTTTTGTTCCCTTGCCTGCAGAGGCACGTACGGATTTAGTTATACGAAAGTTCTTTGATTTTGGGGTTAGTGAGAATGGAGTCCCGTTGTCAATAGTCAACGATAGAGATAGTCGCTTCACCAGCCAGAACTGGCAGGAACTCATGGGAGTTTACGGATCTAAGTTGTTGATGTCGTTTGGCCGCCACCCAGAGACCAACGGTCAGACCGAGCAGATGAACAAGATCCTACACCAAGTTTTGCGCATGTACATTAAACCTGACCAGATCAACTGGGACGAGATGCTGCCTAAGGTAGCTAGCGCATACAATAACAGCGTGCATCTGTCCACCTGTCGCACTCCCAATAAGCTGCACAAGTCCTTTAGACTGCGCAGACCATTCGAAGGACTGAACCGGGATTAGGTTCACAGGTTACCGCCCGGTACCAGGGAGTTTGCGATACAGCACGAGAAGGAATTAGCTACCGTTGTTGAAAACCTCAGGAAGGTCCAACACAAAATGATAGAACAGGCTAATAAGCACCGTCGCCCCTCGCAGTTTCAGGTAGGCGACTTAGTCTGGGTCAAGTCTAAAGAGTTTACACATGAGGAGCACATCTCGCAGAAGTTACTACCTGCATATAGAGGACCGTAGCCGGTTCTAGAAGTCAAGGGTGGAGAGGATGGGCTGTCCTACACAATAGAGATTCCAGCAGACCTCCACACTTACCCTGTATTCCACGCCTCAAAGTTGTTGCCGTGTTTCACAAATCAACAGTTCCCTTCAAGAAGATCCATGATCCCGCCGGATATGGATGGAAGATATGACATTGACGGCATTGTAGACTAAGATGTGTTCAAGATAGGAAGTAGAGGTCGTCCACAAAAACAGTACAAGGTCCAGTTTGCTTATCAGGAACCGAAAGACGACCGCTGGTTTACTAGGACAGATCTTCTAGAAACAGCTTCCGACATAGTCAGAGCCTATGAGCGTGACAAGAAGGGTAAAGGTCCTGCCTTAGACTGAAATATTCTCGGAGGACCTCGAATTTAGGACGGCGGGAGTGAAACGGTTTTCACCTCTTTGCAGTAGCAGACGCAGATCCCAGGGTTCGATCCCTAGACCTTGCCCTACCTGTGTACAGTACCTGTGTAGACCCCGAGAGTTGAACCTGTGACCTGTGTATTCGTAAACAGTTGGTAGGCTGTTATAGGTCCGTAGGCAGTAGGGGTTCGATCTGTAGACCTGTAGAATAGAAGTCTTAGTGAGTTCCAGAAGTCTTAGCTGTAGTCCTTCTAGAAGGTCAGCAAGTGGGCAAGTGGGCAAGTGGTGAGTCAAGTGGTGGACTAAATTGCAGTGCGATTGCAGTACGACCTGGGTAGGTTAGCAGCGAGTCTCCACTCAGTCAGCGGTAAGGTCCAGTTAGTCCCAGTCCGGTCCAACAAGTACCACGAGGGACTGTGAGCACCATGGGCCGATGGAAGAGGGCAGACCGACGAGTTTCAGAAGAATAAATCAAGAGGCAGCGCCCAGCCATTCATTCATTCCTGCGTGAGCCATGCGGAAGCGCTGCCACAACGACTTGTGCAAGGAGGTCTGCAGTGAGCCCAGAGCTGAAGTGGGCGAGAGAGAAGGAGCGCAGCATAGCGATAAGGTAGATGCGGCCATAGCCGCCATAGCTAGAGTTCGTGTGTAGCGAGTGTGTGTGTGTCTGAGAGTGAGTTCAAAGAGTCGCGTGTGGGATATCCAGGGTGATCCGGTGTATGTGAACAACGAGTTGTTGGGCGCTGAGTCGCCATAGCCAATTGAAAGTGAACTCGTATCTGGATGCCATATCTCTGAGTTTTGAGTGGGCGCATGTCGCCAGTCTGCTGCGCTACTGTTTACATGCATGAAAAGTGTGAATGAAAGCGAGTCTGATTGCACAACAGGCTTTGGGTGAGATAAAAGGCAGAGAAAGAAAGAATGATTAGAAGAAGAGCCCAGATGCCACGGACACAAGCGGACATTAGCGAGTTAGAGGAGATGGACCCTGCAGACTTGGATGATGATGTGAGGACCCTAAGGGCAGTCGTGCTAGGTGTGGTAGAGATGCAAGATCACCAGATGGCGATCTTACAGGACATCCAGGAGAGTCTGGTCGTGTTGGTCGGGTGAGCGCAGGCGGCACCATCGCCGTCCGGGCTTGGTGTCTGGCCAATTGTACATCCTCCTCCTTTTGTCCCACCGGTGACTGGGATATCCCCATATACAGCTCCAACATCAGTCCAGCCCGTTTTGCAGGGAATGCCTTTAACAGGCGGGTTCTCAGCAGGTCCTAGTGTGCAGGTTCCTGTACAGACAGTGTTCTCCCAACCTCCGCCGCAGGTTGCCGTAAGCGGGCAGCCTGTCTCGCAGCCTGCACAGCCCCAGCAGCAGCTAGTGCAGCAACCTGCGCCTCAAGGTCCACAGCCCGGAATGGTGCAGGTACCGGGACAAAGTCAGTGGGTTCCAAAGACGGCCATCGCTGCTCCTAAACCCTTCACAGGGCACAAGAGGGGCGAGATAGCAAAAAAAAAACAAGAGTAGATATCCCATGAACAAAGTCATAGCTTCGTCCTCAGTTTGATATAAAGTACAAAAAAGAATTAAAGGTAATAAAGTAGGCAATGTGGTTCGACACATGGTTGAGGTCAGTGCCAGTCTACGTGAAGTGTAAACTTAACAGGGATACGGTCATGACTTCAGCGCTTGGGCAGTCGGCCAGAAACTGGATGACTTCCTTACGTTGGTGGAAGACAGGTGGCACGATCCTCAGGAGGCTCAAAAGGCCATTGACGCGATCCTGACTCTGCATAACAGGCAGTTTAAGTCAGTAAGTAAGGCCACAGACGCAGTAGAGCGTCTGATCTGTCCCTGGGGTGCGCTATGACCCCCAAGTCTTACTCACCTCCTACCTGAGATGCTTTCCTATGCCTCTCAGGAATCAGTTGGTGAGGCCAACATCAATATGTACAACTTCCCCTCGTTTAGCAAGAAGGCCCTAGACCTTGAACCAAAGATAGGGCATGGTCAGACATCCACGACGGATGGTAGGAAAAAGTCACTGCATCCCAACTGGAAAGCGAAGGGACGCATCATGTTCGTCGACAACGATGGTTCCACCATCGAGTTGGACGACAACTTCCAGGCGGGAGTGGGTTTAGAGGCAGGCAGCGTAGAAGCTTCAGGGGGTGGAGTAGTCGCTGCCGTAACTCATAAAGTAAGGCGATCGGTAGATGTCGTGGAGGTTCCTGGTCCAGAAGTCAAGTTGACCCCAACGCTCCTCCATGGGAGAAAGCGGGTCTTAGTGAGGACGTGTGGAGAGATTGGTACACGCGGCAGGCTTGTATCCGTTGTGGCCAATATGGCCATAACCAATTCAAGTGCCGCAATAAGAAGGTGACCGAGAAGATCCCACCTACTATGGGGCAGGCGTTAGGATCCTCCGCTCCCGTTGGTAGCAATGTGGCCAGCAGTTTTGGCACCGCTCCGGGAAACACGTCGGGCCAGTAGGAATGGTAGTTGTTCCTGCTAGGGTCGAGGTGGTGGACACACCCTCACCATCTCGAGAGATGGCCCAAGCTACTGACTCCATCGTCGTCTCGCAAACACGTTCAGACCCATCGAGCCTTTGTTCGATGAATATGTTTGAGTCCTTAGAGGAGCTAGAGGAGTGGTCCAAATCAGACCCGCTAGCTTCTTGGACGGCATTGGCAAAACCCCTAAGGGTGAGATGTTCGTCAGCGAGGTAGTCATCGGCGGCCGAAAGGCCGGGGCCTATTATGACACTTGCTCGACCAGGAACTTTACTAGTCACGCGTGCGTTGAGAGGCTGCGCTTACACGGGCAAGCGCAGCGCCTGAGTCGACCTGTGGAGTCAACCTATGCCAACAAACAACGCATGGTAGTCCATGACTACCTCCAGGATGTTGAGTGTTGTTTCCCGTACGCGGGAGGGGAACAAAGACATCGCGTTTCGTTCCTCATGAGCGATGATCTCCCTATGGATATTTTGTTAGGTATGTACTACCTCTCCGTTGCACAACCCCAGTTTGACTGGGACCGAAAAGTGGTCAAGCACATTTTGCCAGGTGGAGGGATCGCCAGATTACGTAAGTTTAAGGCTAGTAGTCTGATCGAGTCCTACAGATGCATGTGTGCCGCCGCGTTTTACAACTATTATAAGCAAAATCCGGAGGAGGGTATGTATCTAGTTTATGTCTCTGCAGCAGGCGAGCCGGTGAAAATGTCGTCGGAGATAGAGGGAGTAGTTGCTGAGTACCCTGATCTATATGAAGAGCCGATTGGGGTTGTCGAGAAGGAGGTCATCCACGCGATAGAGATTATCCCAGTGTCTAGCATTCCGAAGGGTAGAATCTATCGGAAGTCTGCAGGCGAGCTTGACGAGCTTCGCCGGCAGCTCAAGGAACTCATAGAGAAGGGTTGGATCCGGCCGAGTGTCTCCCCTTACGGATCACCAGTTTTATTCATGCCAAAGAAGGGGGGTAAGCTGAGGATGTGCATTGACTATAGGGGCCTCAATGCCATCACTGTCAAGAACCGAGAGCCCCTACCGCACATCGACGATTTGCTAGATAGAGTGCAAGGGTGTTGGTACTTTAGTACGATAGATCTGAAGTCCGGGTACCATCAGATTGCAATTCGGCCTGAGGATCAGCACAAAACCGCTTTCCAGACCAGGTACGGTCTGTACGAGTTTGTGGTGATGCCTTTCGGCCTTTGCAATGCTCCTGGCACCTTTCAACACGCTATGAATCGGATTTTTCATGACTACTTGGATAAGTTTGATTTCGTGTACCTCGATGGCATACTTATTTTTAGTAGGACTATCGAGGAGCATGTTGCACACTTAGACAAAGTCCTCAGTCTCCTCCGGCAGCACAAGTTCAAGATCAACGGGGAGAAATGCGAGTTTGGTCACACCCGGATCTTGTACTTGGGTGATAAGATTTCCTCAGAGGGCCTGAAGCCCGATGACGCGAAGGTGGCCAGCATTCGTGACTGGCCTCGTCCTCAGTCTGTGACTGAGATGAGGTTTTTCTTAGGGGGCTACTACTGTAACTTTGTTAAGAACTATAGCATAGTGACCGCCCCTTTGACTGATTTGACCCGCCTTGACACCCCATGGGAGTGGACAAACAGGTGTGAGGCTGCCTTCCGACATCTGAAGCATGGGTTGACACACCATGAGGTCTTGAAACTTCCCGATCCTGATAAGGTGTTCATAGTAACCACGGATGCTAGCCAATATGGCATAGGCGTCATGCTCGCGCAGCAGGAGGGGCCAAAGTTGAGGCCAGTGGAGTACTTGCCCAAGAAGATGCCCTCTCAGAAGTTGGCTAAGTCCACCTATGAGAAGGAGTTGTACGCGATCTATAAAGCGCTAACCCATTGGAGGCACTATCTCCTTGGGAGGTTCTTCATCGTTAGAATTGATCATCCGACCTTGAAGTGGATGAGAACTCAGCCTGTGCTCTCTGATGCGCTGAAACGCTGGATCGAAGTCATTGCGCAGTATGACTTCGAGCCCCAGTACCTCAAAGGTGAGTACAACAACATTGCTGACACGTTGTCGCATAGGCCAGACTTCTCCGGTGCGCTGATCACTAAGTTTGGGCTTGCGGACGATGCCACTTACTCTTTGGTGGAAGCCTATCGTGAGGACCAGTTCATGTCTGGGATCATACGCATACTTGAAGCAAAGGACAAGGTGACTTCTGCCGAGTTTGAGTTGGTCAACAGCTTGCTGTTGCTTGAGAAGGCTGAGAATAAACATTTGTGTGTTCCTAATAGAGAGTCTTTGCGTAGTTTATTTTTAGGCGAGAGTCACGATGCCATAGGACATTTTGGTTTCAAGAAGACTGCAACCAATCTGTTGTAGCGGTTCTGGTGGCCCACGATGATGAGAGATGCCAAACTGTATGTCGAGACTTGTCAAGTTTGTCAACGTGACAAGCCTCGGACACAAGCTTCTCTTGGGCTGCTCAAGCCCCTTCCCATTCCGGAAAGGCCTGGTGAAAGCCTGTCCATGGACTCCATGGATACGCTAGTCACCAGCAAGAGTGGCATGAGATACATCTACGTCATCGTGGATAGATTTAAGTATGCCAGGTTGGTGGCCATGCCGGAAACAGCAAAGACCGAGTACATTATCAAGCTATTTAAAGAAAATTGGGTCAGAGACTTTGGCCTGCCGAAGTCTATCATCAGCGACAGGGATGTTCGATTCACCAGTGAACTGTGGAAGGCCGCAGCTGCCGAACAAGGAACGCAGCTGCAGATGACATCTGGAAATCATCCAGAGGCAAATTGACAGGGAGAGCAAAAGAATCGCGTTGTTCAACACTTGCTGAGGCACTACAGTAAGCCTAATCAAGTGGACTGGGATGAGAAGCTTGCTCTCGTCGCCAGCCTGTACAACAACGCAGTTCATAGTGCCACGGGAGTAAGTCCTAACAACCTACTTCCAACGTTCAAACCCAAACTCCCCCTTGACTTTCTGCTACCTGAGAACCAGCCTACTGCTGCTCCAGGCACTTTGGAATTCGCTTATAGATATGAGAGTCATATGCAGCAGGCAGTATAACACATGCACAAAGCACAAGCAGCGATGATCGAATCTGAGAACAAGCACCGCCGCCCACCTATGTTTCAGGTAGGGGATAGGGTCTGGGTCAAGGCTTCTGAACTGGGACATGAGCACGGGATTTCCCGTAAGCTCATGCCACAGTAGTTTGGACCATGGGAGGTTTTGGATGTAGTTGGGGATGAACCAGGACCCTCAGATGTCGTTCGGATCCCTGGACACCTTCGCACTTACCCTATTTTTCACGCCTCTAAGCTTGCACCATTCAAGGAAACTGACCAGTTCCCTTCGCGACACTCAATGCTGCCCCCAACCATGGATGGAGAACTCGACATTGATGAAATTGTGGATCACAGAGAGATGCCAGTGCCAAGACCGACCGGCACGGGACGTCCTCCGAAACCGAAGCTGCAGTATCGCGTTCGGTTCAGACATCACACTAATCCTAAGGAGGATAGATGGTTTACACGGGAGGAATTGATGCAGACCGCTCCACAGGTTGTCGCCCACTACGAGAAGTTACTGCAGAAAGGAAAGCGCCAGATTGAGTAAACTTCTCAAAGGACTAGTGAAGTATGCAGGAGGGAATGCGAGGCACAAGGCCTCAATAAAGCCCTACCGGGCCCCTATTTGCAACAGGTCGGCCGCCCTAAGTGAAGGCAGGCTCGACAGATGACAAGAGGCCTATTTTGGACTACTTCACAATTGGGGTAAAATTCAGGCAGTTGCGCAGCGCCAGTTGGTTGAAGGCGCCCAGGCCCTGGCCTCCTTTATCAAATGTATCTAAGTCAGGCCCTGGGTGAGATACGCAGCATGGACCCAACTCAGGCTGCGGGCAGTTGGGCACGGGTAACTGTCGGTGGCCCTGGTCCTGATTCGTTTGGACTGAGGTTCAGTCTCCCTGGGCCTACCGGAAGCTTCTGGCCAGGGACCCAGCGCAGCCAGGCTGCACGCAAGGCAGGCAGGCCACTTCCATTTAGGAAAGGGCATGCCCACGCATTGGACATTCGGGCACTGGCTGCATGCTGCGCAAGCGCTGTTGTGCTAACGCTGGCTAGCGCTCACGCGCTCACGGGCGAGGTGGAAGGAGCAGGCAGCCATGGCCGAGCTGCGCTGCTTTATGCTGGATGTGGCGCATAGAGGTTCTTGGGTGCATGTGGCATCTGTGAGTTGGGGAACGAGGTTGTGAGTGATACGAGAGACATACCTGGTGCTTGAAGCGTACAACATTGGCCGAGATTTGCTCGTACTTCGGGGATCTGATGACGTCATCGGCGGCAGTGTAGATTAGGCTAGATAGGATCTGCCATTTGTAGTCTGGGCGCCGAGCGCCAGATAGGATATCGCCATTGGTTCTTCGTTGATGACGATGATGAGACTATTCCAACATTGTCAATTATGAGCTTTTGTTGTTTTCTTATTTGGTGGAATTCGTGATGCAATTTTGCTATTGGTTCGAGGTCACGGCTATCCGGTCTCATGTGTATGATGTTGTTATTACGATCCTGGTCATTCCCAAAGTGGAAATTCACAATGAAAGACAATGCCACCCAATTGTGAAAGACACGAAAGCACTTGCAAAGAGAGAGAGACCAGAGAAGAGGGAAAGAAGAAGAAGAAGAAGAAGAAGAAGATGTACACCAGCAAGACCAATGACAAATCCCCCCTTCTCTCTCCACCTTCCTCCTCCTCCTTAACCTCTCCAATCTTATTCTTCTTCCCAATAATAATAATAACAATGAGTGGATGAACCAAAATCAATATCCAAAGTTCCCTCTTACTGCTGACTCAACAACAACAACAACAACAACAACAACAACAACAAGTCCACCATAGCTATGGCTTCCCTCCTCCTTCCTCCTCTCACACACCTAGGCTATGGCGGATTACTGAGGGCCCTGCCCTCCTGTCCAAAGGACAACCCAAAGCAGCTATGGCGCTGCCCTCCTGTCCAAAGGACAACCCAAAGCAGATATGCTGCTGCTGACTAAGCCGCCATGCCTGACTCTGCCTCGAGCTTCCTTGGTGCGGCACTACCCCGACTGGGGCCTTCCAGATGCAGCGCCCAACAAGGTGATAAAGACGGTGTCCACCATAGCCAGGTAGGTGCCTCGCCACTCTCCTCCTTCGCCCCCTTCTTCCTCCTCCTCAGGCTGGGCTGCTCGCCATAGCCAGGCTGAGCGCCCAGTTGCCCTTCACCTCCAGGTAGCGCTGTACCAGCCCAGCGCTTCGCTCAGCAGCATGTTGCCAATCCTTGCATACCGCAAATGAGGAGCTACTCACTCCTTCGGATGATATAGCGGTGTCGGTGCGAATACCCTTACAAGGGTATTCGCCCTGGTTTTTGCCAACGACGGGAGATAAGTCTGGTTTAAAGTTTCAGTATACCATGCAAGGCGCGGCTGAGGCTGTGGTTTACGTGACTAGGTGGCCGGCTAAAATAGAGAGTGTGTGGGCGTGCAGATTTGAGGCGCGCGTGATCTTTTTATTTGTTGATGATTGAAGAACCGGTGTGATCGCCGGTCCGTTTTTTTATTTTTGATTGAGCTAGGATTAAAAAGATTTTGTCCCTTGATTGGTGTAATTACCTGTGACTTGCGCATGCGTAAGGAGGACGACGTCGACGGCGGCATGGTTCGGTATAGTCGCGTGGTGGGCGCGGAAGGTTGACAACCGAGAGCTCGACTGATAGGCCGATGTGTGGGTTTGAAACGTTTCAGCAGAACCACGCACCGCGCAGTATCCGTTTATTTAGGTGTCCGTCAAAGTTAGACCCAGCTTCGGGCCTAGCACTAGCGGGTACAGCATCGGACGTTCATCGGAGAGATTCAGGGATCGAGATCGAGAGGCGACGATGAGGGGATATCAAAGTAGCGCGAAGTGACCGAGGGGTTGAGGGTCCGACGAGGCTATCCCCCTTGGTTTTGCCGTCAACGGACACGTTCGTCGGTCTCCAACATTAAAGAATTTTATTACTTTATTGTTGTATTGTTATTAGTTTCGTGCTCCGAAGGCAAATCTATTATTGTATGGGTTTTCAGCCAAGGCGAATCTATTGGTAAGGTTAGTTTTAGCAATGGTTTAGTAGATAGGGAGCTAGATGGAAAATGAGGTGCGCGGGAGATGGCGGAGAGCGAGAAAAGGGGGAGAGTGAAGTTGCAATAACTCGCTCTTTTTTTTTTTGACCATTTCTTGCGATTCAAAATACTAGGTTAAGTTTTTTAGACAGGGCGAATCAGAATGTGTTGTTAGTTTGACTAAAAAGCATGGTTACCGTCCGGACGTCCGGAACCCATTCCGGACCGTCCGCGTCTGGATGTCCGGGCGGACGTCCGGTCCGGTAGGTCCGGAATTAAAATTTCAAAAAAAAAAAAAAAAAAAAAAAAAAAAAAAA